TTCAAATAGCTTTTGCACACAACTATTTCATTCTGAAGGCAATGAGCATATTCTATATGTTTTTCCTACAGATCATCCTCAGGGCCTAGGCAGATGGTCCAGTCATTAAAGTGCTTGCCACATAAGTATGAGGATCTGAACTCCATCCTTCAGAAGTGACATAAGACAGTTGGGTCTGGTGACATGAACTCATAACTCAGGACCAGGAGGATAGAGACTGACAGATCACTCAGACTTGCTGGACAGTTAACCAAGCTTAATCTGTGAGCTCCAGGTTCAGTGAGAGAACCTGTCTTAAGAAACAAAATAGTAGTTTAGGAAGTTAATGTCTCTACCCTTACCTACAGAGGACAGACACCTTTCATCTGAGGACATATTGTACTTGGTTCTAGGACAGGCCAACCTGTGCTAGGACTTTATGATTTTTCTTTTTCTTTTTCTTTCTTTCCTTTTTTTTCTTCCCTGATTACAGATAATAGACATGGCCTGGCTGGTTCTTCCTTGTGACCATTCAATGCAAGATCAACATGCAGGGTTGTACATTCTAACTGCTGACTACTGTTCTTTGGAATTTCAAAAAGGAAGGGAAAAAATACAGAAAATGATCCTTTAGCGTTGTACCCAGGCTGAATCAGTCCTTGACTTCTATGAAAAGATATTTAAAGCTGGTGAGAGATTCATATTTCTTACTTTCAAAGAGAAATGCATTGCTTATACTTTCGTTTCTCTTTTGTCACAAGCTCAGTGGAGAAATGAAACTCAAAAAGCCCCAAAAGTCCTTGGGTGGATGAAGTAATTCGTCTGCTTCAAATCCCAAGTCAGCCTCAAAACAAAACCAACAAGCAACATCCTACACCCTCAAAACTCCAGAACTCTGGCTGAAGGGGGAGTTTGGAGGAGTTGGGCAGCAATGGGGTAAGGTGGGGAAGCAATAACGGAGAATATTCAAGGAGCTCCTTCCTTTGTTCTTTCGTTCATTTGTTCCTTCCTTCCTCCTTTCTTTCTTAAAGATTTATGTGCATGTGTGCACGGTAACAGATCCTCTGCGACTGGTGTTATAGGCAGTTATGAGCTACCCACTGTGGGTTCTGGGGACAGAGCTCAGATAAATCTCCTAACTGCCCAGTCATCATCTCTCCAGTCCAGGAAATCCTAGTTCTGAAAAAGTCATCTGTACTCAGAAATTGAAGAATTCTTAATAAATCTTAAAGAAGTGCTCACTACTGTATTTACATATATAAAACAAAGAGTAGGCAACTTTCTTCCAAGTCTGTGAACAAGACAGAAAGTATAGCCCATGGAAGCAGAGAGGACTGGTTCCTGTAATCACATGACCTCTTACATATGCTGTGGCATGAATGTACCCCCATCACTAGTGAGTAAACTAATTTTTAATGGCCAATAGGTAACTCTACCATGTTTCAAATAGGTGAATATGGCTAGTGGATATAATTATTTATTGTTCAGTAAAATATGTTTTCCAAGGAAAAAAGATGGCTCATCCCATCACTACTTTCCTATAGTTCCTGAGAGTCAGTGCAGACAAACTGCAGTTACTTCTGAAATGGTTACAGTGGTAGTAAAGGCCCTTTAAGGGAAAACTCCCGGTCAAGAAAAAAAGAAAAGAAAAGAAAAGAAACAAACTTCTGACCTGCCTGGAGACCTATAATTACAACAATTACAATGTCATACAAAGCTCTCTGTCCTCCTTGGGGGAGGGGGAGGAAGTAGACTTCAAGAGTAGTTCCAGCATCACGGGAAAACTGAGTGGAAAGTACTGAGATTTTTTGCTTTTGCTGTCCTTCCCGGATCCATTTTCTTAAGGTCAACACCCTACATTGAGAAGGTGAGAAGCATGTATGTCCAGTGCAGGACTCTGTTATGAACCTGAGCCACTCTGCTCTTGGCAGTATGCCTTCTGTGGGTCTGAAATCATGGACATATACTTATGTTCACCCTTACTTTGTAACACACTGTGGCCTCACTGCCTAACAGTTCCTGGGCTTCCAGCGATATATCTCCCCAACTCAGACTAGGAGTCTGGCACTTCCTGTGCCTCTTTTGGGCTCCCCAACTCCCTAAAATGCTGCAGACCTGTGTGTGACAAGAGGATTGTAAATCTTTATCATAGGGCTAGAGTTCACTCTGTCCTCATGTCTGTGCCAGGTTTCACTGTCCTTATCACTGGGTCAGGCTACACTTATAATCCAGGAAGTGGTCTATTATCTCTGGTTTAGAATCTTGTGGTTAGAGAAAAGAGGCCTCCAGACAGGGGAGGGTTGAAGGTCCTTGGGGCTTAGTAAGGTCTCTTGTGTTAACAATTTTACTTTAAGCCAGTGCTCTGAAGAGAAACAAAACAGAAACTAATCAGTAAATGAAAAGTCTATCTCTAGATGGCATCACCATGGCTGCCATGGACTATTGTCCTCTTCCAGCAGGATTTTATGATCAGGAGATTGAAAGAGAGGGAGCTGAGGGCATGGGTATGAAAGTGGATGAACAAGGGAGAAAGGGAGAGAAGAAGAAAGAGACATAGAGAGGGGCAGAGAGGGGGCAGAGAGAGTGGCTGAGAGAGGGAGGGGGAGAGAGAGAGAAAAGACAGAAGAGGAAAGAGAGGAAGACAAGGAGAGGTATCAGAATTTGAAGTTTTTATGTGGGTTTATTGAAGACAGGGTATGTTACTTGCCAGATTAAAAGACTTCCATGACTTTGTTTTAAGCTGCCAGGCTTTGCCTTAGGTCAAGAAGATGAGGAAGAAATGAATGAGGACCAAAACCAGGAGACTTCATTAGTTAAGAAAGACACTGATCAAAGATTGCCTTCAGTTTGGACAGAAAAGATGGTGTTGGGTGACTTTAAGCTACCTCCTATGCAATAAAATCTCAGAAGATATACTCTTATTTTCTTCTCTGGTACCTCAAACTTGTGCTGGCATCTAAAGAAATAACTATTTGTGTAACAAGATATTCTTGTCAGCCTTTTTTGAGGGGGTGAACTACCAGCTCCCAATAATGACATGGAGACTTATTAGTAATCATCAGAGGTTGGCTGTTAGCTTAGGCTTATTCCAGACTACCTCTTATAACTTAACCCATTTCTATTAAACTTCATTCTGCTATGTGACTTTTTACCACTTCTCCATTGTGTATGTCTTATTCCCTCTGTGTCTCACTTATATCTCCTCCTTTCTTATTCCCAGAGTTCCTCTCTCTCCCCAGAAATCCTTCCTATCCTGTCCTGCCTATGTATTGGCCATTCAGCTTTTTATTAAACCCATCAGGTGCTTTAGACGAGTGAGGCAAATCATAGACATATTTTCATGTGGTATAAAAATATTCTGTAACATACATGGACATCAAAAAATCTGGGTGACATTCATCTCCAACTACATTGATGGTTGAGTACCCCAAATACCTGAATTCAAAACCCTTCTGACTCCATATCTATTAACTCATATTTTTATAATATGCATAATATATTTGTATTTAATATGATATATTGCTATATTGATTATATGCTGTTATATTTTATATAATTAATTTTTTTGATTTTTCGTAATTTTTAAAATAGTTATTTTAACTGATTGATTTTATGTGCATTAATGGTGTCTGATCTCCTGGAACTGGAGTTACAGAGAGTTGTGAGCTGCCATGTTGGTGCTCGGAATTAAACCTGGGTCCTCTGAAAGACTAGCCAATGCTGTTAACCACTGAGTCATCTCTCCTGTCCCTACATTTGTTATATATTTTTTTTTAACTTAGCCTTGGTTGACCTGGACCTGTCTATGTAGACCAGGCTAGTCTTGGACTCATAGAGTTCCACCTGTCATAGACTCTCCAGTTCTGGGGTCAGAGTCACACACTACCAGACCCATCACCCAAATATTTTATTCTAATGTTCTGAGATGTTTACAATTTTACTTGGCATATGTTTCTAAATAATTAAAACAATGCTAAATTTTTGTTTGTTTGTTTTTTGAGGACAATGATATTATGCTGCTCTATTTCTGGGGCACCTGCATTCTAAATACAAATTCTTTAAGCCTGTGATTCCAGCTCTGACACCCTCTTCTGACATCTGCAGGCACCTGTTATCACAGGCACAGTCCCACAGACAGGCATACCTACAAACATATAATTAAATACAACACAAATAGTCTTAGAAAAACTCCAACTCTGCTTCATAAACTGCCTAGTCCTGAAATTCTTCTTGGCATCAAAGCTGTGAATCTTTGTTTGGCCTGAGTCAAAGGACCCTGAAAATCTAGAGCAGTGATTCTCAACCTGTGGGTTGTGACTTTTTTGGGGAGAGGGTGTTGAATGACCATGTCACAGGGATCATATATCAGATGTACTGTGTATCAATATTTACATTCTGATTCAGAACAATAGGAAAACTACAGTAGTTTTAAAAAAATAAATTTATGGTTGAGATCACCACAGTGTGACGAACTGTCTTAAAGGAGCACAGCACTAAGAAGGTGGAGAACCACTGATCTAGGCATTTCTTGAACTGGTGAGGGTGACAGTGGGATGTGTCTTTTCTGTCCCCACACCACTAGCCAAACATTTCCTTATTGGAACCTGTTGTAGGAGACAGCCTGAATCACTCCTAATTGGCTCCATAGTATACGATCTCTTATTCCCGGAGAGGAGAGAAATGTGCTCACTGCCTGTGGACAGTGTGTCTCCAGCTCTCTGCATTCTGACTCTTGTCTCCTAAACATTCAATCTCTGGATCGTTTGCACACAGAATCCTCTGAGCTGGCCTTGATGCCCCCTTTTTCAGTGATGTCCTCAAAACTCAGAGTAGCAGTATGGGACTCACCTCTCCAGAGGATCACTGCCCTTTGTCTGGTATTTAAAAACAGGAAGTTGGGTGGCATTCTTAAGGAGGAGTGTACTTACAGGCCACCCACAGAGTGAAGTGGAACCGCCCCTGAAGCAAAAACAGTTTCATCGTCTCAGCCTTTACAATTTCTGTCGTCTTATTGCTGAAACTCAACTTGTCCGGGCTCTGAGATGAGTGCTGCAGGGCCTGCGGAGGTTTTTGTGGGCAGGCTCAGTACCACAGACAGTCTGCAGGAGGGCGAGCTGGGTATGTATTTAATGCATATTCGAACGAACTACCAGAGCAGAGAGGTGCTTGCCGGGGACAGGAACGGAAGAGGGGGGTAGAGGAGCTGAACCTCACACCTGTGAGCCTGTCACAGTTGGTTTCTGCAGAGCTAGAGAATGCAGACAGGAGTTTAGTTAGCTAAGAAGTTTTTATATTAGTTATTCTATTGCAGCATATAAATAGTTCTCGCACAAGATAACTGAAAAGTGAATTGCAATACAAAAGCTTTTTTCTTTTCTCTTCTTTCTTTCTTTCTTCCTTTCTTTCTTTCTTTTTTCTTTCTTTTTTCTTTCTTTTTTTTTTCTTTAGCTTGCTAGTCTATGCTTTTCCCAGGGATTAGGTAAATGACATTCTGGTGAATCACACCAAGTCCCTGTGGAACAGGCTAGCTCTACAAGTCCAACAGCAAAGGCAAATTCAAACAATAACAGCTCTGAAGTTTGTAGTGACAGGAGGTGCCTGGGAAGCTGGGGCTTTTGTTGTGCAGATTCACTGTGATTGCAAAGGAGGAGGAGGCAAGAGGAGGCCTGGGGTCCAGGCTGATCCCACCCAGGACTAAATCCTCTGCAGAGTAAATTATGGAAAAAGAATATAATGAGTTTTCTACTTCAGTCTTAAGAAAAGAAGCGAAATTGTGTTTCTTTCGTTTTGAAAATGTCTATGCGTCATTACATTTTACTGTTTTACCTTCTTTTTTCATTCTTCCCTGTCCCTCCACCTTAATTGTTTTCATTTAGGAAAAGATACTGCATTTTGAGAAAACAAGACTGATATTTACCAAAATATAAAATTCATGACAAAATATTAATGTTTATCACTTAAACCAAGTATTCCCCTAACTGAAACATTATTATTATCATTATCATTATTATTATTTATTATTATTATTAATTATTGATGTTGTTGCTGCTGCTTCTGCCTGCTGTTGATTGACTAATTCTTTGAGACAGTCTCATGATTTTTCAAGCTGGCCATTAACTTCTGCTTCCTTTGCTCCAGTAGGGTTGACTTTGAAACGAAATGCTTACCTAATGGGAACATATGTGTTGCGAATGTGGAGCTTCTGTTCAAAGGGCAGATGTTGTATAACTGGAGACATTCTGCAACTTGTAACTTGCCTCTCAATTGAAACCATAGCTGTGAGTGAAGCAGGGTTTTTGTTTGTTTGTTTTTGTTTTTATTTTTGAAGAAAAAGTTTTTCTGTGTAGCCCTGGCTATACCAGACTCACTCTTGTAGACCAGGCTGCCCTCAAACCCAGATATGTGCCTGCTTCTGCCTCCTGAGTGCTGGGATCACTTGGCACTCTTTTTTTAAATAATGCTAAAAATCAGATCAGCAATGCTTCATTCTTTTTTTATTGAGAGCTCATTTCTAATATTGCTTCCTAATAAAGACACAAAAGTTACTTTCAATTGTGCTGTGGGAGACATTATATTTTAGAAGGAGATGCATGTATATACAGTATGAGAAAGGTGAAAGAAAAGATTTACTATTAATATATCAAAATGAAACAGACAACATCAGATTTTATACCACTGTAAATATGAAGGACTATCAATAAAGCTTGCTGTTGATAATGTATATGAAATGTCTGATATGAAATCCTGCTGGAACCTGGGTGATTTAATGCCTAAATTTGCTTTTAGAAGACATATCAGATATTATTTTTTTAACACAATCCCAAACTTTACAGTTTGGTTCTTTTTTCTTTTCTTTCTTCTTCTTCTTCTTTTTTTTAATTGACATTTTACACTTACCACACACATTTATTGGTTCATTAAGGTGACTACACTAGAAACTCCCTCAGCTATTTTCAGGGACACTACATATTGCTGTGAACGCTAGTCTACTGTGCGTTTGACACCAGAGTTGATATCTCTTTGTAGCAAATATTGCCTCTTTCCTCTCTACTGTCCCTAGTCCAGTAAGAGATATTTATACCTGAGTGTGTATTGTGACATTATTCACATTAAGCAGCACATGGAACCCACCTGCATCTTGCAGTGAATAAATGGGGGAAAATGTGACACATACAAAAGAAAGGATGAGATGACGTCTTTTGTGACAGTGTGGGTAGATCTGGATGACATGTTGAGTAAAATTAGTCAGGCACGGAAAGCCTAACACTGCTTGACAGAAGAGGGAATAGCTAGGGGTATGGACTGTCTATTCAGAGTTTGGAAGAGGTTTTAAGCGCTAAACTCAGAAATCATAGGTAAGTCTAGACATTTCAAGTTTGACGGTGTTTCAAAATCTGGGGATGGTGGTGACAAGAGGAATAGAAAACTGATGAAAATTGATTTCTCACACGCTGACCAGTGTAGGAGCTGGGTAGTGTCTGCTTGAGAATTTAGAGTTTGTTTCTTTATTTTTGTATAGGCTTAAAATTCCCAATAGTAAGTGACTTGTTTTAAAATGTTAAAAAAGAGAAGAGAAGAGAAGAGAAGAGAAGAGAAGAGAAGAGAAGAGAA